CAAAATCAATCCTGAAAATATGCGAACATGCCAGCGTGATCCACGTGAAATTATTGAAGTACTGTGCGCCAGCAACTCATCTCAGTTCCTGTGTGCGAATGGCCGTTGTATTCCAAACGAATGGAAATGTGACGGCGAAAATGACTGCTTGGATGGCAGTGATGAGGTTGTTTTTTTTTTAATTTAAAATTTTAATTATTACCAAATATTAGAGTTAAAAGTGGATTTGGATTTAAAATCTTTTTTATGCAAGCAGTCTGCTGCGCGCTACGCAGTACAGCCAATGATTTGCCTCTCATAGTGAGGTTTGACGCTTTTTTGGGAATAGTTGTTTGAGTAAATAGTGGGTTAGTGTACTATGGCTTGCAGGTTGCGTAGTTTCAGAATTCCACGTGTTTTATTATCTCCCTGGCGGAGCTCCGATTTGAACCTGAGATACACCACACTTTTGTCGGAAAAGTGTGGATCATAGTTCCCGTTCTTGCCTACTGTGCAGTCACATCACAGACCCATTTTTCGCTCGTGCTTACCAGACATGTGAATATGACAAGTAGTCGGAGATTCGCTGTTTCGATTCTCGTCTGGAGCCGTGTCTAAAAAAATTCAGCTTCAAAAAAGTTTTGACCTAAAACTACAGTATTCTTGTGTTGCGCATATTTCCACCAGTCCGAATATATAAACATAAAAAAGAAGTAAACTGAGGCAAAATCGGGTTATTTCTCTTTTTTATAAGCAGTATGAAAAGGAAGGCGGAAATATGCCAAGCCTAAAATCAGAGTTATTTCCTATTGCTGTAAAATTACTCCCTACACTCCTTGATGTTAGTGAGATGCAGTAGCAAGTATGCTCATATCAAGTAGCTTTTCCTCGTTTTGGCTGCCTCCATTGCCGCGTACTATAACCTAATATATTCGTGCTCAATTCAAATAAATATTATTTATAATTTTACCAAATACTTTCTAATAATGTGTTATATGCAATTTTCTTAGAAAGGGCCTGATGGTAAACCATGTTTCGTTGAAAAGGAGTGCCCTCCCAATACAATTCGCTGCAACAATACGAAAAAATGCATACCACAGCAGTACGCGTGCGACGGTGATAACGACTGTGGTGATTATTCTGATGAAGATGTTAAGGTAAAAACAGCAAAAAATTCCTTTCAGTTTTTGGCAGTCTTGATCATTTTTAGTCCTGGCTTCGGGCCCCGCCTTTCATTGAGAACGAATATGAATGAGGTTTTTGACTAAGAAAAAACATTCGGAAGAACGTAAAAATGGAATCCTGTGCAGAAATCAAGTGTTTGGAAACTAATCGTACACAGCTTTGAAACAGTGCGTCTTTGCATACGACCATTGTTCATCATAGACTTCTTAAGGACGTTCTTTTTCCTAAAAAGTGTGGTCACGTCTTCCTCGCCCTTTACGAACGCCCAACAAGTTGTCGTATTATCTTTTAGCTTTTTCGTTTTATCAATTTTTGGCCTTAATTCGAGTTTTCCTAAGGTATTATTTTTTTACAGTACTGCAAAAATGGTGAAATTCCGGTTTGTGCTGCGCGGAAGTTCCAATGTGATAATCACCGATGTATCCCGGAACAGTGGAAATGCGATTCGGACAATGATTGTGGCGATGGATCGGATGAGAAGCTTGAAATGTGTGCCAATACGACCTGTTCTTCGAATCAAGTATGCTTTTCACTGGTCAGAAGTGTTAGCTAAATGTAGGCTTGTCTACGTTACGTGTTTGTGTTACCTCCTACAAAATTCCTACCCATCATGAGGTCGTTGAGGTTTGCGATTGACAATGGATTGGAAACTGCCCAGGTATGAGGATACAAATTCTAGCTGCCTGAAGTTTATAAGTGATATATAAGCAGAATTAAACTTGGTGTGACGCTGCCTTGTGGCAAGGGCGACAGAGTTAGAACGTGCCTGAGCTTGAATTCATTATATGTTAAGTCTATATATGCGGCTGTCGTGGGAGATTTCAAAGCTAACGTGGATGAGAGGAGAAGGAAGCTGGTTGAGCAAGCAACATTTTGCAATAAAAACGCCAGTGGCATTCCGTGCTTTATGTCCGCCACGACTACTCAAATTCGATGGAGCTACTAATGTTACTGATAAGTGGCAGTAGGTCTGACATGACTTGATGGAGATTGCCTTTTAACCGGAAACTCCCTGTTAAAATTTTTTGTAGTTCACGTGTGGCAATGGTCGGTGCATTCCGGTTTACTGGCTTTGCGATGGTGACAATGATTGTTACGACAGCACGGACGAAGATAGGGAACGATGCCCGCCGGCGGTCTGCCGTCCGGACCAGTTTCGCTGCGCCAATAAGCGTCAGTGTATTTCGCTTAAAAACCACTGTGATGGGCAACAGGATTGTGATGATGGATCGGACGAGGAAAGCTGTCTCATTCAGGTTTTCAAATACTTTATTCCCTAAATTGGGCAAGAATTTCAGTTGAATTCATAAGTATGCAGCGACTAAAGCAAACAGATTTTAAAAAATACTTGCTCTGTGTTTAAAAGTAGTCACACTCGGGTGTAGCATATTACTACTTTGTTACAATTCGCGTATAATTTCACGTTAGCTTAGTTTCAGGAAGATAAATGCGCTCACAATGAGTTTACATGTGTATCCGACGGGCTTTGCATACCGATGGCATGGAAATGCGACGGACAAAAGGTACCGCTTCTTTTTTTTCTTCTGTGTTCTACAGATTCTCGAAAATTATGTGTAACGTTTTTTTACTGTATTTTCTTAGATGTTCATAAGAATTCCACTTGCTTCGTGCCGCATTCTAGGCGACATTCCTTTGCTGGAAGAGCGTTTGAACATATTTAACTTTTTGCACTCCTATGTCAGCCTTCTAACACGCACATTTGTCAGATTTACATTTGCGCCAATGGGAAAACACCGTGAGAGATACAGCATTTTTTACAAGAAAATGGTAAGGAAGAACAAGGTAAAATCAGTAAATCGAGACAGAGATGTATAATCAGTCTGTCACTATCTAAGTTACGAGAAAGCCTGAGGCTTTAAGAATAGATGGAATAAGATGATATCAAAATTAAAAGACGGAGACGTTACGGGAACTAGTCCGAACTAAGTGTGGTGAACGAATGAAAATTAATGAACAGTTACTTTCAATTACAAGGATCAGAAGTTGAATTGCTTGGTTTGATATTTCTTGAAAGGAACGATAACAAGTTTAATTAAAGTCATCTAGCACAATAAGA